CTGCTGAAAGAACTGACTTCCTTCCATGAGGCTTCTGCCACGCATAGACAACTAGAGCATTTTGTAAGTGTATGTTCAAGCAGTGATGTCTTATAATTTGCATATATTAATCAGGAACTCTTACTGCACATGGCTTTGTACAGTAGAACATTGTAACTGCCAGTACTCTCACGTGTTCATAACCCACTGCAGAAAAGCTCAAAGAGAAGGAGGAACTGTTTCTAGCTATTAAACTACTACTTATTTTCACTAAGAAAACAACCAAACACAATCTGGCACTACTCCTCCCTTTTCCTGCTACTCTTCTCACAACTTAAAAGGGATTCCACAATACTCACAGGATGACAGGTTTACTGGGATCTATGCTCTGTCGTGGGACTTCCCAACCATCCCCTTGCAATGCATTTCCACTTACACCATCAGTTCCAAGACTCCATTAGAACTACACTGAAATTCAGGTTCGTAAAAGCTTTCAAAAGGAGCTTGGCTTTGCAAATACTTTAGTTACTTACTTCAATTGAAACAATTTTTGTCTACTTTTAATGAGCTGTGCAATACAAAATGAAACCAGCTTTGAACCTACTTAGTAAGAAAAATCTCTTTTTTGAGAGAACTAATCCATTATCTTATCTCCCTTCTTCCATCTTAATTTTTCCCCTCAACTGAAAATCCAACTAATGCCTTAACTTTTTCACATTTCTATTTGACAGAGGGGTACATTTCATTTGAACAAACTATGTCTCAATTCAACATAACAGATAGAATAACACAGGTAAGCATAGTTGCCTTTTAAAAAAAAGGAAAAACTGATATTGTTATTTTCTCAAGATGGATAAACCCATTATTACATACGGTCTATCATGCTTCTATATAAGACATATGTTTCATCTATGTTTCATCAGACACAAGAAAACAGAGGTAATGTCATCTTTTAGTGTCTATCCTTCATTTCCTGAAATCCAACAACTAAAAGTACCAGGCCCTCCTACTGAAAGATATCAAGTTTAGATCCTAAATGAACAGGCTCCTTGCAAAAAGGAAGGTGCTAGTCACAGAAAATCAGTTTTCAGAACAGTTTCCCAATGACCAACATAAGCAGACACAGAGATGAGTCATCTTTCTCACGATTCCACCTGAATCAGCCACAACCCCATTGCCGCAAACATTCCCAACAGAAGCTCTACCTGACAACGTTTAGACTCTTGTCAACCCTGGGCAGAGTTCACCATATGCATACAATTAATGGATAGCATACCTGTTTCTAATCGTGATGAATACTGATACAAGAAATACAAATTCACCAGGTACAGGAATCCTGTTCCAGGTCCCACTGGGAAGAAGAAAGTCGCTGTTATCGGCCGCCAGATCTGTCAGGATAAATAGAAAAAGATACATTTATAAACTCATGCACTCCTGAATATATGAACTCATATGTATATTTTTTTTTTCTTTTCCTTCATTATCAATTACTTGGAAGATCAAGGAGGAGAATAAAACAGCCCAAGTATCAATTACTGCTGCTTTGGCAGCTTTTATGGTCGTTTTCTTTTTCTAAATCCGATAAGCAAAGCTGTTAAGATTACAACAGAAATCACACACAACTTCCCAGCTTGCTTCCATCACATCTTCATAGTATCGAGTCTGTACTTCGGTGCAAAAAGGATATGCTCTCAAGGATGCTATCCTGCTTTAAAAGCCTCCATGCAGAATCCATTCTTGCCTGTTGTACAAAGGCCAAGCAATTCACATGACAGCCTTCAGCATGCTATTCCAGACAGCACGCGCGGCTCTCGAGCATTTTGCATCTGCTTTAGACAGTCTCCCAACTATGAAATCCTGGGCACAGGCAACTGCATAGCAGCACGTAGCAAAGACAGAAAACGTCTGGCCATTTATGAATGAGCTCTTTAACTGGCAACACTTCCACATAGAGGATTAGGATCCTGAACATCACAGTTCCAGAAGGAATAACAGAACTAGAGGAAAAAAGAGCCATCTAAGCTACTAAGTTTTTGGGGACAATACATGAAACAAACTACAGATCGAGCTATCTTTTTACCTTTTTTTGTACTCAGACTTTTTTACTGAAGACGTAACGAGCACATATAATAGAAATTTAAAGGTTGGGATCTTTTCCTCCATTTCCATTTTCAGTTCATCCACGCTGAATCTGTAACCTCCCAATGCAAGGAAAAAGACTACGTCCAGTTTGTGACCACTTTTGATATTGCTAACACATCCAGAAACACCATACATCTGAAACTCCAGGACTTCAGTTGGTAGTTTATGTCAACCACACCTAGACACAGAAGCTGACAATCCCAAAGACAAGCTTTTTCAAGTTCCAAGCAAGAAACGCTCAGAAGGTGTGAAAAAAACACTTCATTGGCTCTACCTTCACAGAATCACAAAATCACAGAATCACAGAATGTTAGGGATTGGAAGGGACCTCAAAGGATCATCTAGTCCAGTCCCCCTGCCGGAGCAGGACCATCTAGATCAGATCACACAAGAACGCGTCCAGGCGGGTTTTAAACATCTCCAGAGAAGGAGACTCCACAACCTCTCTGGGCAGCCTGTTCCAGTGTTCTGTTACCCTTACTGGGAAGAAATTCTTCCTCATGTTTAAACGGAACCTCCTATGTTCCAGCTTATATCCATTTCCCCTTGTCCTATCATTGGGTGCCACTGAGAAGAGCCTGGCTCCATCCTCATGACAGTCACCCTTTACATATTTATAAACATCAATGAGGTCCCTCCTCAGTCTCCTCTTCAAGCTAAAAAGACCCAGCTCCTTCAGCCCGAAAAAAACACTTCATTGGCTCTACCGTAACATCTCCAGAGCCACCCGCAGTTTAGGACAGCTACATACCCGCCCGCTAACCCCAGTTCCCAAAGTCACGCCCACACAACCGCACAACAGAGGCCGGGCAAGTCACGTGAAGTTGCAGCCACAGGGTTTATGAGTTTATGTCGTGCTTTGGCACGACAACCG